TGAGCTTTGGCTCTTTGGTCCCGCCTCTCAACCGTCAATCAACTGACATACAGGTTCCTGAGCCTACTGGGCTCTGTCATATCTACATTTGAAATTGTGTATGGAGTCAGCCTCCACCACATCACTTTCTAGTGCATTCCATTTACTAACTACTCTGACACTGAAAAAGTTCTTTCTAATGTCTCTGTGGCTCATTTGGGTACTCAGCTTCCACCTGTGTCCCCTTGTGCGTGTACCACCCGTGTTAAATACTCCATCCTTGTCTACCCTGTCAATTCCCCTGAGAATTTTGTATGTGGTGCTCATGTCTTAGCTCTTCTTCCCTAGCTCTTCCGTCTTCCAGCGACGTGAGGTGCAGTTCACGCAGTCTGTACTCATAACTCGTGCCTCTTAGTTCTGGGACTAGCCTAGTGGCATATCTCTGAACTTTTTCCAGCTTCATCTTGTGCTTGACTTGATATGGTCTCCATGCTGGGGCTGCATACTCCAGGATTGGCCTTACATATGTGATATACAAGGTTCTGAATGATTCCTTACACAGGTTTCTGAAAGCAGTCCTGCTTTCTGCTATGTAAACATATACTCCATATTTATTATGGAGTATATGTTCATATAGTATAATGCTTTTAAAAATGCTTCCATGTAGTTGCTTGTTTTGGAGTACAACCTACATTCTGTGGGTTGTTTCTCATGGAATTGTGGTGAGCCAAGATGTGCAATCTCCTCTTAGTTTCTTTTAGATTGTCAGATTTCGGTATGGGCATATGGTAGGCAAATGGGATTTGTTAGAGGCGTGATTTTGTTCATGAGGTTTGGGTGTTACCAAGGCAGTAGCAGTGGAGAGCTACTGAGTGCCATACCAGAAAGATGCATTTCATTACATTCAACATAAGACTTATTTTGTACTATTTTCAGTTTCTAAAGCATTTTCTCTCCTCCATCTTTCCTAAGTTCTTATCATCGTCAGATTACGAAACCACCAAATCTTCATTCAACTTTATATGTATGGTTGTATAGATAATGCCTCAACTCATTGACTGGATCAGAGGTGGTGGTGTTAGGTGGTTATACCATACATATTATTGTGCCATCACTTGAATTTAAGTTATCAATATCAGGAAGAGTTTGACATTGTCTTATCAGTAACAATGCCTGAACCTCATCAGCCTTCAGTCTTAAATGATTTATCTGATCTTCTTTTAGCTCTTTACAGAAATGGTTGTTGATCCATAATAAATGTCACATAAATTAGGCATTCCTCAAATAATAGTAGACTGCAAGTAGTCTGTTCATGCAGTTCTTTAATGGTTTTGGTGTTACAACCTTACCTACAATAACAGCCTTTGTCCTGTGAGTTCCATCTACATTAGTGTATACCAAAGCTGATACTCTTTCCTTACTTTATGGCCTGGCACAGTCACAGTCACCTTTACCCTACAAGCCAAAATGTTTTTTGGCCAACCTCTCCAGCACAAGCCAGTTTCATCAACATTGTAGACTTGGAAAAAATGTGCTGCAATCGGTTAGTACTAATGAACTTGTTAAATTGTTGTTTTAAGTTGACCAACACTTTTCCTATGACCACTGTAGCTTCACCAGCTACCTTCGTGTTAGTAATGGCATGCCTGTGCCTAAATATTGTAACCCAGCCAGATCTAGCCTTTAAGTCGTGTGCAGTGCCTAAATTGTGGGTAAGCTAATCTGCTGCAACTTTAATTTGTTGCAACTTCAATTTGGTCACACCAACAACCACACTTGCTGTGCATTGCAACATAAACCACTTTTACATAGCAGCATCCAATTCTGTAAATGTAGCAGCCTTGAGTGTTTTCCTATCAGCACTACTTGCACCCTCACACACACGTTAGCAACATATTTCATAAAATGCTTTCTAGGAGAGTCCCTTCAGCAGCTTCCTGGTGCTTACATCCTGGTACTGCTAAATTTAAAGATCATGCCAGGCCTCCGAGACCCACGCTGACCTACCAGGACTATAATCTGGCTCTTTCTACAAGGTGAAGTGATGTTGGGGATCAAAGATCTGTTCAATACCAAGAAAAACTGAGCAGAATATAAGAAAACAAAATAAACCAATACTTGAAAGAAAGAAATTATAATGATGAAACAAGGCAAACAATAGCTTTCCGAGGGCAAACAACTCCTGTTTTAATTTGCTTGACTGGCCAGGGCAGCCACAGTGACGGCCCTGCACCTACCTTACTCACTTGCCTGCTACTGACGAGCTTGACTGCCTCCTACTGTCAACCATGTGCTATTTCTTGCCACAGGTAACTGATGTTGGCTATCTTTAGAATGTTAGGTCTGTGTAGGGCTATTACTGTACAGGAATTTTCTGACTTGCGACTATCCTACTTATTGTGACTCGTAATTATGATGGTTTCCAACCCTTCATTGGTAAATTTTTTTCCCTGAACTCTAGTGCAGTCTGGGATCTTGGATTCATTATCCCATTTCTTTAGTAAAACGACCCTTAACCCTTAATGGGGCTCAATTATTCGGTGACCTGCATGAAGTGAGAGCGTTGCTTTACCGTCCAGCCCAAGTGATTGGGCACCATAAGTGGAGAGTCAATACAACCATTCTTGTATCCAACAATCTGCCCTGAACCAAGATCACTGTCCTCAAAAAGCCAGAATTTGGTGCAGAGACCCGTGGAACTGCCACGGTCAATTCTCTCTGGCCCCAGACCTAGACAGGACAACCCCAGAAGAGCCCCCAGCAAAGCGTACCAGAAACCTCAAAGAAGGAGGAGCATGAAGGCCAGGTACACCACCCGGGGGGTGGGGGGGGGGTAGCCCCTGTGAAGTAGAGACCAAGGTGGGGGCATAACTGTTGAACAAGAGGGTAACCACCAATGCCCCATCAACATACCAAAAACAGCAGGGGTACCAACTCTAGGGTACCCAAACCCAACCTGGACCTTAAAAGCACCCCTGCAAGCCCTGATCCTGCAAAGTAGCAACTGCCCATAAAGACATAGCCCAAAATGGTGCATGGCCAACACCAAAGGACAGCTGCAAAATACAAAAAACACCTGTATGAAATACATCAACCCAGAAGGTGAATAACAAACTAGCAATTTCTTTGTTTTCAGCTTTCATTTCTTTCTTTCAGTCAATGGTTTGTTTTGTTTTGTTTGGGTTTCTTGTTGATATTTCTCAGTTTGGCATAGATCTCTGATCCTCAAGCTTCCCTCACTTCTTAGAGAGTACCAGATTCTGGTCCTAGCTACCAGGGTAAAATGATGGATCTCAGAGACTTTGCATGATTCTTAGACTTTGCAGTTCCAGTGCATAGACATAAGGGAAACTACTTATGGTTTACCAGAAAAGAGAGTTTCATTACATTCAACCCTTGATTTTTATCAAAAACCACTTGTACTAGTTGCATACTCTTGTGGTAAACTCAGTTCTCTGTGCCCCAGGCATCTTCCTTCATTTCTATCCCTGATAGCATCTTTCTCCATTTCTATCCCTGATAGAATCTTTCTCCATTTCTATCCCTGATAGCATCTTTCTCTATTTCTATCTCTGATAGCACCTTTCTCCATTTCTATCCCTTATAGCACCTTTCTACCTTTCTACAATTTAACATTTTCTTGCCCGAAACGCATTGCGTAATAGTGGCTTTAGGCATTGTATGTACTAGCTCTATCTATATATCAATCCATTAATGTAACATCACTTGTATGTATGTACCTTACCTGAATAAACATATTTATATATATATATTATATATTTCTTCATATCTTTCCCTAATTACATCTTCCTCGTTTTCTTTTTTAGCATGTTGTTTTTTCTCTCTCTCTCTCTCATAGTATTGTTCTTCTCTTGTTTTCTCCTTCGGCCTGGTGATTCTAATGCTATATATCCTTTTTGCTAGTATTTTGTTAAATTTATATACAAAAATAAAATAAATAAATGAATATCCTTTTGTCAGAAAGGTAAAGAGCATATAAGTCACATGGTTGGGTCACATTCATATAGTCAAAGTGCAGTAGGTAGGCCTCCATGAAAATAAAATAGGTAATTTGCAATGTACACTCTACAGTTATGCATTTGTTATCATTATTAAATTTTTAATTATGAACAATAAGTCATTAATGGGTATAATATTTGCTTCTGTATCTTGTTAGTTCTTCTATACACATATCTTGATGTAATTCAGTCAAGCAAATGCATGTTTCATTACACCAGAATGCTATTGGCATCTCTTTCTTACAACTGTAACTGAATTCTTCCAACGCAACAGCTCTTACAACCGAGACTGAATCACTATTACAACTGTTCATAAGACCGAAACTGAATCTATCCATTGCAACCATTCTTACAACTAGAATTGAATCCTTCCATTACATCTGATTTTTTGGTGGACAGGTTTTTGTTCAAGTGAAAATCTGCTGTAATTTTATTTGACAGCCAAAATGTACAAAGTATATTAAAGGATTTTAACAGAGGTAAGAATCATAGTGCTGCACTTTATTAACATATAATTCAAATATTAATAATTAGTACTCATGTGGTGCATTATTCAAAGATTAGATAGTATGGCTCATTTCATCTCCATGTTTTTGTAGATTACTGGAAAATAAATTGTGCAGCAGTATGTTCAAAAGATGTTGACTTATCTCTGACTAATGCATTGATGATTTATGTTTACACAAGAGTAATTGTTGGAATATTTTTCTGCTACATGCAAGCATTCTACATGTGATCCATCACTTTTCACAAGGAATAGAGTAAGATTAATATAAAGGCACAAGATTCAGTAACAATGCATCACACTAAGAATAACAAAGTGCATGTTAATATTTTAAATTATGTATATCCCCTTTACACTAATTATTTAATAAGATTTGTTCATGTTTTTATGTGTGAAATATATAATATACATTATATGAAATATATTTTTATACATTATAAGAACTCTTAATACAGCACAATATTAATTATTTTATTGGTATTTTAACCAATACACAGAAATCTACTCTTTGGCAGATATGAAAAACCATTACATGAACCAGCCACAAAAAGATTAAAAACCGAAGGAGCAAGAGTTAATGGCGCTAGTTCAAGAGAAAAAGATAATGGCCGACCCTCTGTTATCCAAGAAACTCCTGTAAGTAAGGCATCTCTGCCAGCAGTACCTGGACTTGTTTCTGCAGATGTATTAAGACAAATGAACCTTCTAGACCCAAGTGCCAAGTTACTCCTTCCAGCACACCAGAGCAACAAAACAACGATAAGTGCGCTGGCACAGCTTTTACCCCAGACTAGCATCTTCCCAGCACCGGCACCTGCAGCACATCAGCACCATATAATGAAATCCCCACGGGACCCCATCAGACCCGAACCTCCAAGGGTCTTCCAATCACAATCTGTGTATTCTCAATCCAAACACATGTATGGTAAACCTACCACGGACGTTAAGGACATGAGTAAAGACAATAAGAGTTCTAGTCCAGAAATAGAAATTCTGGATCTTAGTCGTGCATCAGGAAACAAAAATGGTAGATCTTCAAAATCAGAACGACCAGAAATAGAGTTGTTAGACTTGTCTACCAGACGTGATATAACAGTGTCCTCAGTTTCTAAACCAAGTACTAGTAAGAACTGCAATATGAGTAGGATTCCTCCTCCTCATGTTAGCATAAAATCCTCAGATATCTCTAAACTTTCACCCAGTAAACTCCAAGGAGCAGCAAATGCAGCTTCTGCAGCAGCACTAGCAGCTGCTGCAGCTCAGGGCTTGCCACCAGGTTTAGCTAGCCTTCAATTAAACCCTGCAGCATTACTGCCGTACCTGTCGCCCATGCTTGCTCCAGGAGTTAAACCCAACTCTGGAGCCGGTGGTGCTCCTCTTTCAATATTTCCCTACATGGACCCCACTGCCCTTGCTGCTTACTACAGTATTTTGCCTCATAGCTTAATTCCCACAACCAGTAGTGGTAGCAGTAATAGTGGGGGATCAGCCGCAGCTCAACACATGGCAGCAGCCCAACTACAATTTGGTTCATTAGGGCTTTCAAGTTTATCAGGCCTCTCACCCGAAGCTTTAGCAAGCCTAGGCATGTACAAGAACTTCCTTCCCCAAGGGAACCTTCCTGCCCCACACTTCCTTTCGGGTCTTATGTCACCACACAATCACAACCCGCCCACGAGTAAGTAACATTATCAACACACCCAAAATAATCACCTCACACATCACCACCACCATAATCATCATCATCATCATCATCATCATCATCATCATCATCATCATTATCATTATCACCACCACCACCACCACCATCATTATTATCACCATCACCGTCACCATCTCCTCTTTCAACATTTACATACCTGTAAGTTACTTTTTATTATTTATTCTTATATCATATCTCATGAGCTAATTATTATAGCATTTTTTTATTGTTATGTAGAGCATTACTTTATATACCTCCATAATTCCTCATTCTCATCTCATAAATCTTTGTTTATAATGTCTATATTTATCTTTGCCTTCATCATCTTTCCTCTAAAGTCACCTCACATAAATATTAAATCTTTCATCTGCAGCATCCTCATGCTGTCATTGTGTACCTTCCTCTCGTAGACATCATGCCATTGCTCACTACATCACACCACTACCACAGCCCCACCACTCCCGCCGAGTGTGTCATCCTCAACAAGTATACTGTACGAGGTCTGCATTTTGCATATCTTGGAGAGATTTAAGAAACTGATTTTTCGTGGTGTTCTTGATTTTATCTGTTACTCAGATTTACTTGGTTCTTAATTTAATACGCCTGACTGAATGAAGCAAATGGCAACTGCAACAGTTAGCAGTCAAAATGCAGAATTTGTTAGCGGAACTTTATTACTCTCCCAAGTCTTGTTAATTTTCAAGAAACTACAAGTTAACATTTTGTATTTTCAGTTTTTAAAAAATACAGTAAGTACAAAATATATCTTCTAACACTGTTTCAGGATTGTAAATGTCTTTATAAAAAGTGTATGATGTTTAATTTAGTTTTTATTGCCTTAAAATTACTATATGGAAAAGTAATTTTTTTTTTTAAGTTGTGCTGAGTACATGAGAAAGCCAAGGATAACATGAAAAGTATGTTTTAACAAAAAATGGGGAAGTTTTTATGCCATGGGAGGAGGGGCTCTTTTGGTACCTGGTTTAGAATAAGATTTTCTTGGGTTCAGTAAGTGCCTAGTTTTGGTTTTCTTCCTTTTTCAAATTATAACAGGGAAGTATTTGTGTGATGTAAATAAGTACAGTGATTGATTTCTCAATTCTTTTTTTAATTTTTTATCATAACATATAGGTTAGCTAATCTTTTTGTAATAAACTTTTAGTAGTCATAGCCAGAAAGACAAGTGCTTAGCTGTGGTTCATGAAAAATTGGGAAGCTGGCTGGTGAAGTGTCAGTTCCTGTATCAAGTTACGAGTTCGATTGCGACTACCTCGAGTGTCAAGATGTACATTCAAAAACCACTCACGAGGTGAAGGATTGACAATGGAACAGAAGAAGATAGTGATCATGAATGGTGTATCCAGCCGTAAGTTACACATTGATATACAATACTGTAGAGGGAAAACAAAACATTTGTGTGCCACAGAAATGTGTGAAACTGCAGGATGTGTCTGTCCAAGAAACACCTCTGGATAAACTTATTAGATCATTTTTGGTCATTATGTGTTCATTGTTCTATTTTCAGTAACTTACCTCAAATAGTGTAATTCGTTTCTCCATGAGAATCTTTAAGTACTTTTTAACTTGTAGATATGTGTATGTTAAATAATAAATGGTCCTTCCATAAGTGTTATACTGTATCTCTTGATTGACCAAAGATTTCCTCAATAGCATTCATTCATTGTACATACTTGTGCAAATCTTGATTTACATAGTTTGTACATAATGGAAGTGATTGTATTAACCAAATAGAAAGGACCAAGTAACGTTAGTAAAATGAACGAGGTAGCTGGAAGGCGATGTTGTCTCTGCCATTACCTGACTTGTTCTTTTTCTCCTGAAGACTTTGGCAATTCTTACCTGAAGCATTACCTTTTGTACCAGTGTAAGGAAAATATTGATGTAATAAACAACTTTTGAGTAAAAAGAAGTTTTGACAATGACTACCTATTGCTACTAGTGTTGTATTTTTGTTGGAATAGGCAACATATTTCCTTAGTTCTTTGAGGTAAGTTGACCAGCTAGCCAAGGAAGCAGAGCTGGGTGGAAAATTAAAGAGGTGCTGTGTTCTCCCACTGATGGATCACTGGTTATATAAACACTGCACCGCCAAGTGACAATCTTCACGTAGCCTCCACATTTTTTCCCCTTTCATTATTTTTCTTTTGTGTTTTAAATGTACACATTATTATTTACCTTCTTTTTCTACTCATGTGAGCGCATTACAAGCTCACAAGAGTAGATATCTTTTGATATCTAGGTATTAGATATCAATATGAAGGTGTTATATTCAGGGCCAGATTAAAGGATGGGCTTTAGGGGCTGTAGCCCAAGGGCCTCAGCCAGTAAAATAGCTTTAGTTTGCACATCATGGCCTACAGCTGTTTTCAAGAAACTTTGAAGTTATTCTCGGAAGATGAAAATCAAAAAGCTGATGCACGTCATAAAGTAAACACTATACTCAAGCAGCTATCAAATTTGAAAATAAATCTCTTTGCAGACTTCTGGGTTATCATGCTCAAAAGGTTAAATTAAGTTAGCAAATCACTTCAACATGAAACACTGGAGCATCAGTCAGCTAATATATTAAACTTCTTAATCTCTACTGGATTATTTTTTATGTTGCAGCGCAATCAGTTTGAAGCGTTTGAAAATAAAGCAAAAGACAAAGTAATCTTTTATTCCGTAGAGGATACAGAATATTGTAACAAACAAAAATAAGAGCGTTGGAAAAAAAAATGAATTGATGATGGTTATGGTGAAGATGTTGCTTTGTAAGGAAGATGGAAGTTTAAGGTGGAAACATACTTACTCATCATAGACAAGTTACACTCTGCTCTTTCTCATTACATTGAAGCATATAAATGATTAAAACATTTCAACAACAGCAGCCAAGTTTCAGATCTACTCTGGTGACATCGAGCCTGAATTTGTTCCAAAAATTCTTCACTTTGAAAACTTTGTTGGACAATGTGATGAATTCAGTCACAAGCATGAAACCCCACAAGCTTGTGTTATGCTTGATGGGGTTCTGGGAGTTCTTCTACTCCCCAAGCCTGGTGTACACCTCTAGTAGTAAACAATAAAATAACTTCTTCGTTCCCTAATGTTGAGATAGCACTACTGATATACCGTACTTGTTTTTATAATTAATGCAACCAGACAGAGGAGTTTCTCCAAGATGAAATATCTAAAGAATGTACACAGATCTTGTGCAAGAATGACATAACAGACTTGATCTCATGTCAATTGAAAACAGTGTTCTCAATAACTTACAATTTACCGTAATGATGTTTTGTAGAAATTTTTTTTTACAAAAAATTTGGCAAATACGCTTGAATTTAACTAATGTTAGTCTTATAAAAATTAATTACTGTATATTTTTCTTTAACTTTGTTTTCCTTATGAAAATATTACTGAGGTCCTCTCAATACCTATAGCCCAGGGGCCTACACAAATCTTAATCTGGTTCCGGTTACATTGTTGTAGCTGTAGTTCTGTTAATTATTCACATGCACCTATATTTTAATATCTTTTATATATACTACTGTATTTATCATCACCTGTAATTTATCAACAATAATCAAGAACCAGTCTCTTCAATGCCACCCTATTGAGAGGGATGCACATTGTGCCAGTATGAAGTAAACACAGTCCATATATTTTAATATATTTATGTCACATTTTGTCTCCAACTCCATCCAGTGTCTTTATTACCCTAAACACCAACTGGGCTTGTGTCTGTGCATCTAACCGAATCCTAATTTCTGATCAATGTGACACACTCAGATTACCAGTCTAATATTGATTAATCCATAACATTTGGTCAGGTCTCTCAATGGAAGACAGCTAGAGAGATATCACCATGGTAAGTCATACTCATGACCTGCTTGTCAATTCTTGTTGAGGTCCAGGTCAGACCTGGCTACCCTTCACCATTCTGCCAACATGTGTAAAATCCTATTAGGCAACCCTTATGACAAACGCTATTTTGTCTCTGTCATATAAAACTTCTGGCCATGTGCCAACTGCTGGTCACTCCAGGTAATGGGAGCATAAGGTGCCATAGTAACAATTATCAAGGATTTCATAAACAGAGCTGAGCACACTGGATAACATAATATGGGTCACTAATGCAGGACTGGCAGGGAGGAGATGACTGAGAGGATAATTAGGGAATAGTGCCAAGTAAGGGACCAAAATTTGAGACTTGGCCTTTCAGTATTTTCCATGTATATATTGTGATACTAATCATTTTTTTTCCAGAAAGTACATTTTGAGAGCTTTGAAATGGTCCCAATAATTTATGTGCTTTATCATGTCTATGCATGCTGTATATGTTCTATGTATTCCCTCTTATTTCAGTTATCTCTCTTGTTCTGAAGGAGGAAGTGAGTATGAACAGTACTCAAGGCAGACCAACACAAGTGAAATTTGAATAGAATAAGCATTATGGTGGGATGCCTAGATTTGAATGTTTTCATAATCCATCCTATAATTTTTCTAGCTGACATTATATTTGCATGATTTTGCTTCCTAAATGTTAGGTCATCAGACATCACTATTCCTTGATCCTTTACATGATCCAGGAATAGATCATGTAAAGGATCATGGTTACTGCTTTCCTATGATGGGTAGATCTAATAGTCTTGAATTTGTATTTCTTTAACGTCTTAATTTTTTTCATACCTAAGACTGAAATTTATCACTGTTAAACATCATGCTATTTTCCAATGCCCAATAGAAAAAACTTTATTAATATCAGCCTATAGTTTTTCAGTGTCTTCTAGACAGATAATTTTCATGCTGATTTTTGTGTGATCTGCAAAAGATAACACGAAGCTGTGATTTGTATTTTTGTCTATATCTGATGTGAGAATGAGAAAAAGCAGTGGAGCAAGGACTGCTCTGCAGTACAAGGCTTTTTACTGTGCATGAACTTGATTTTGTTTGATTGACTATTACTCTTCACATTCTGTTTGACAGGAAATTTAATATCCATCACCCTCTTTACCTATTATTCAAATTGATCTTGTTTTACGGGCTCTCTCTCTCTATGGTTACACTTATCAAATGCCTTTGCAAAGTCCATGTTTACCACATCTGCATTTCGTTGTTGTTCTAATGCTTCCATGATTTTGTCATAGTGGACGAGTAACTGTGAAAGGTATGATCCTCCTCTAAATCCATGTTGACCTGGGTTGTGAAGGTCACTGTTCTCCATGAAACTGGAGATCTGACTTATGATCACTCTTTCAAAATCATTTATTACATGTGATGTTAGTAATTACCCAAGTGCAGTTGCAGGATGAGAGAGATGCTTGTGGTGTCTCCGTCTTCCCAGCACTCTGTCATATAACGCTTTGAAACTACAGACAGTTTTGGCCTCCACCACCTTCTTGCTTAGCTTGTTTCAACTGTCTACCTTTTTCTTTTTGCAAAAGAAAACTTTCTGATGTTTTTCTCGCACCTTTGCTTCCTTAGCTTGAATCAGTGTCCTCAATATCTTTTAGTTACTGGTTTCAGGAATTCCTCTTTGTCAATCTGATCAGTTCCTATTTGTATTATGTAAGTGGTGATCCTATCACCTCTTGTTGTTCTATCTTCTAGTTTTGGCATATTTAATGCTTTTAGCCTCTCCTTGTACCTCTTTGTTTACAGTTCCAGAATCCATTTTGTAGCATACCTTTGCACCTTTTAAAGTTACGTGCTATTTGAGATATGGGCACCATACAATTGCTGCATATTCCAATTTTAGACTCACAAAAGTCATGAACAGTTTCTGAAATATTTCACCATCCATGCATTTAAAAGCGATTCAGAAGTTGGAGAGAATAGCATATGCTCCTCGCACAATGTCATTCATGTGGTCCTCTGGTGACAGTCTACTCTCTGGAACCACCCCTAGATCTCTTTGTTAGAGTTCTTCAATGCCTTTCAACATAATTTGTAGGCTGTGTGTGGCCTATTTCCTCCTATTTGACATTCCATAACATAACATGACATATTTACATTGAATTCCATTTGCTAAGTGTTGTGTAATTAATAAACTTATTTTGTCCAGGTCATCTTGAAGAGCATGACAATCAACTAAGTTTCTCTATCTTTCCTAATAGCTTGACAACATCAGCAAACATGTTCATATAATTCTGTATGACTTGTTATGTTGTTTATATAGGTGTTGAACTACTAGTGAACCCTGTACTCACCTATTTGTGCGTGCGGGGGTTGAGCTGTGTCTCTTTGGTCCTGCCTCTCAATTGTCAATCAACTGGTGTACTGTACAGATTCTTGAGCCTACTGGGCTCTATCATATCTACATTTGAAACTGTGTATGGAGTCAGTCTCCACCACATCACTGCCTAATGCATTCCATTTACTAACTACTCTGACACTGAAAAAATTCTTTCTAATGTCTCTGTGGCTCATCTGGGTACTAAGTTTCCACTTGTGTCCCCTTGAACCATGTTCCACCCGTGCTGAAGAATTTGTCTTTGTCCACCCTGTTAATTTCCCTGAGAATTTTGTAGGTGGTTATCATGTCTCCTCTTACTCTTCTGATTTTCAGGGACGTGAGGTTCAGCTTCTTCAGCCTTTCCTCGTAGCTCATACCTCTCAGTTCCGGGACAAGTCTGGTGGCATACCGCTGAATCTTCTCTAACTTTGTCTTGTGTTTAACTAGATATGAACTCCAGGCAGGAGCTGCATATTCCAGGATTGGTTTGACATGCAGACGATGAGTTTGACCGATGTCAGATTGGTCTGACATAAGTGGTATACAAGGTCCTGAACGATTCCTTACACAAGTTTCTAAAGGCAGTTCTTATGTTGGCCAAACTAGCATATACCGCTGATGATATCCTTTTGATGTGGGTCTCTGGGGACAGATTCGGTGTGTGGTACTCTACTAGTAATGGTTCTCAAGTT